CATTATTTTATATGGGATGTATCCGGGACCGGACAAAACGGACGATGCATCCGGGAAAACGATAGTTCCGGGAACGATGGATAGAGGTTTCACTGTAGTTACAAATATACAAAAGCAATAAAAAATAATAAGTACAGTATACATATTTCACACCCTGCAAATACCCAAGAATTCCTCCATTCATAATAGTGGCTGCTGCACATGTCTTGGAAATATTACAAAAATGTAAAATGAACTTTTTAATGCAAATATTATTTTAGCCTCATTTAAATTTGTGATATATATGTTACCGGCAAACTATGATATCTGGCAATGTATAGAATGCCTGAAGTCGGTAAGCAAAGTATGAAATTCAGGCATTTTATAAAATTGCCTAGAACCTTTAGGCAATGTATGAAACTAACAGTTTATTTTATACTTTGCCTAGGTATTCTGTAGAATACCTAGGAATTTTATAAAATGTCTCTGATTCTGTAGGCAAAGAATCATTTATATTTGCAAAAACTTAATACAATACAATTTTTTTAATTCTCAACACTTTTGTTAGGCTATGTTAGTATATAAAACTTTTTTTTATTCTCAAAACTTTTGTTATGTTCAGATTCAGTAGCTTGGTGTTTTTGCGACTATCTTGTACAACCTCCATCTTGACAGCTTACCCAATCAACTTTGATTAATTTTAATTTACACAACTAATCAATATTAACTTTACGATTTATTTCATACTGACTTTAGGCATTCTCTACATTGCTGGTAACATATATATTAAATGACCTTTATGCACACCACATGTATATAGATTCATTATCACAAAATAAAAAATAAAACATTTTATTGTTTTGAAACATGGCATTTAAGAGAAATCAATGTGAGTACATTCTACAACTGGTAATTTATGGACTGTCACAAAGTTGTAAAACTCAACCATCCAAACAGCATACACAAATATTTTAATATAGTGCTTTTTGACAAATTTATTTCCATTTTTCATGCATGCAGACACTTGTACAATTACATACATTATGTACATATATTACTTAAGCATCCATCTAATTATGGCTAAAAGGAAATTGGCTTTGAAAATTGAAATGCCTATAACAGAAGCTGTATGTTTGCATAAGTAAGAACTCAATGCTGAAATACTGTGTTATAAAATACCAGTGTTAAGAGCAACAGGAAGTTCCTCTAGAATTCAGTAATTTCCATAACAAATAAGTATATCAAGGCAGTTTCATACTTCTTGTCCTTTCTTTGTATGTTCCTTTGCCACTTCCCAAACAATAATTATATGGAAGAATTTAGGGACCATGATAAATTTGTCATTTCATCACAAGGTTTTAAAATTATTTATTATTTTGCATAAGTATCTTGAAATTTTATCCTCAACATCACCAGGTCTTTTTACAGCCTGACATATTTTATAACAGGCCTTGTGAAAAACTTGACATTTTATCCTTAAACTGCAAATCCCTTTTACAGTCTCCCTGTATAATCTACATCTATGGCATATCAAATAATGAATTTGGAAATTTAATCTATACAGATACAAACAGCTGCACATACTAATGTGCCTCTAAACCAATATACATGCAAGTAAACCATTTCTCTTTTTGTGTTGGGTAATGGTTACAAGAAGTAGAAATATATTAACTTTCATGCCAAATTACTTCCCAAAGGCAAAACTAATATGACACATACAGCAACATTTATAGGATTCACAACCTTCCATACAACTCAAAGCTTTAATTTAGAAGGTTCAATGTAATACTTCAAACATATGCACATTTCAGTCTGAGTCTAAATGCATAAACTTTATAATACAGTCTTAATTCTGGCTCAGATATTTGTTTAGAGCTGGGGCCATATTTTCCCCTTCTTAATTTTCAGGATGCAAGGTTATAAATGACAACAACTTACTGCAAGACCATGACAGTTTACTGAAACTGCTAAGTTATGCCAAATGTTTGCAGATAGGTTCACATATTACACAAATTTTCTTTAGCAAGATCAGTCATTAGTGAGATATATGACACTGCTTTTGCTTAAGTAATCTTATAATATGAAGTTTAATGAGAGATGAGCTCTGTCCTTGATCAGTGGAATTGTGGGAAAGCAGGAAAATAACGTGACAGTGCTAAGTAAATCAGGAACAGGACTGCAGCTAAACATGTCAGAGCTCTTTCTTCGAGTAATGGACAATAGTTACAATTACATTATTTGGAAAACTTATCAAATTCTGATCCAGAAACCACCAAATGGAATAGCATTTATAATGACTAATGAATTCAAGGAGTTCACTTGCTGGCATTATAAAATGTGATTCAAAACCAATGATAAAAGCACTTTTCAGTAGGCTTTTCCTATGCAAAAGAAGAATTTTATGAAGGTAAGATACACTACTGACATAGACCATTTACTGGCCTAACTTCTTCATAAGATGTTTCCACTTCTTGTGGGTCATCTAATAACCAAACCTTCCCAGAACTACTCAATTTCTTCTCATATTTTTCCATGGCTACGTTGTTTTTGAAAGCAGGCTCTATTCTGTATTGTTATATTGGTTCAATTTTGCATAAGGAGACCTAAATCTTAACAAACAAAATAATATTTCTCATCTGTAAAAATCCTATCTGTTTGATACACATGAATTATTAGTCAAATTATGTAAAACAGTAAAGTAAAGTTTGTCCCACTAGATGCCATGTAGGCGTTTGCAGTGAGTGGAGGTATAGCTCCTCTCTTCCTTGACCTCGGCACTAGATGGGGGTGAGTGGTCAGCATCACGTCCCGGCCGGCTTTACCCCCGGGAAAGGACCCCGGTACCCATTGTAGAGGCTGGGTGGGCCCCACAGCCAGTCTGGACGCAGAGGCTAGAGGAAAAATCCTCTGCCCCCGTCGGGGATCGAACCCCGGTC